AAGCAGCTCTCGGACCATTTACCTCAGTGGTGTTGTGGGACGGCAGTAGTCGACTATTGATGATGTACAACCAACACTTTCCTTCAAAGGTGAGTGAGGATAAGTGCAACTTCGATCCCGGTACAACCCACACTACCTCTTTGTCTGGTGCACAGATAGTGCTGAAAAACAATTGCCAATTTGTTGGTTCTCGCTGGTAAGTATCATAGTAATCCACCTCCCCAGTGAATGCAGGCAAGCGATACACTCTCCCGATGGCTTCAATCGAGGCATTCACCCTCTTTTGTCGCACAGTGCAGATGTGATCCTCATGTTCAGAACAATTAGTGTAGAATTCCTTAACAAGCATCAAGTTACCGTCCTCCGGCTCTTCGAAGAAGATGTCTAGCCTGCGCCTAGTCAACTCCCTATACATATTGGGGCATTAGCCTAGAGGGATCCCCTATCAACTCCCCTTTTCCGGTACAGGCTTTCTAATAGCCTTCCAACCGAAACGGTCTTGGGCAGCTCTGGAGACAAACCTGGTGCGATCAAATTGAGCTGAACTGGCTGGTGCCCGTGCCCGGGACGAGCCTCCATGACCACTTGATGATGCATCGATAGTGCGTATCTTCTTTGAAGATCTCATGGTACCTACACAACAACCATCACTATCAATAATCGGCGGAATATGTGAACCAAGGGCGGTTATTCAGACTTCACCCGCACCATTGGTCACAATTTATACTAAGAAAACTCATTGTGGCAATTCAACAAACACCTACTGTGCATATCCCCCCCCCCCCCAAATGTACCTAAAGACCCAATTAAACTTCCGTTCTTCACAACTCAACAATGTCTTCCCAACCCAACCAAATATAATGTCCTCACATACCAACATATATACCAACAAACAAAAACAAAGATAAGAGTACCCACAACTTCTACTATCCTATACTTACAATAGAAGAGAAAAAAGAATGCAAAAAAAATTGAAAAACAAAAAAAAAACTAAAAAAGAAAGTAGAAGCATGTACTTACTTGAGAATCTTGTGAGGAATGGAGCTTGGGTAGTGGTTGAGTAGAGAAGGAAGAAGGAGAGGAGATTTGGTGAAGTTAGAAGAAAATTGGGGAGAAGATAAGGGAGGGGAGCGCTGGTTTTGATTTGGGGAAGGAGGAGGGTTTTAGATGTGTTTTTGTTTAAGGGGGAGAGGAAAAGAGTGGGGGAGTGGGCGGATGGGGGGTGGGGGGTGGACTTAATTAAAAAACTTAATTAAAAGGGGAGAAGAGAAAAGAAAAGAAAAGAAGAAAAATAAAAAATTGAACCTGAATGGCGCCAGATCCGCGGTCGGATCCGCGGTCCCGGACTGAACTTCTGCAAAATCTGCGGTAGATCTGTGGCAGCGGATTAGGCATCCCGAATTTTTTTTCTTTTTCGCACTTTTGCCTATCTCCGGGATAATTTTGTCACCCCGAGTCTTTCTGCTACGCATACCTTCATTCCTGAACCTTAGTAGATCGATCAATATTGTCACCGTTCAAAAATCAATTACAAAAAATAAGAATAAAGAAAAAAATAATGGGTTTCCTCCCAAAAGGCACCTAATTTAACGTCGCGGCACGACGATTTACAACAAACCATGGGTTGCCTCCCAGGAAGCGCCTGATTTAACGTCGCGGCACGATGCAAGCTTTCATTATTACTCTTCGCTCATATATTGGGGCTCTTCCAAAGATATCACCACTCTATCCCCCTTTTCTGCGATCATTCCAAGGTAATGTTTCAACCTTTGCCCATTCACTGTGAACTTATTTGTTCCATCTTCGGATTCAATTTCTACAGCTCCACTTGAGAACACTTGCACCACTCTGAAGGGTCTTGACCATCGGGACTTCAATTTACCCGAAAACAATCTTAGTCTCGAGTTGTATAACAACACTAGATCTCTGGTTTTGAAGTTCCGATCTATAATATGCTTATCATGTATCATTTTCATCCTTTCTTTGTACAATCTTGCGTTCTCAAATGCATGGAACCTGAATTCCTCGAGTCAATGTAACCCAGTGACTCTACTAGTGCCTGCGGTCTCCATATCCAAATTCAACTGCCGCAGTGCCCAAAGGGCTTTATTCTCGAGCTCTACCGGAAGGTGACATGCTTTTCCAAACACCAACTTGTATAATGACATACCAATTGGAGTTTTAATTTCTGTACGGTACGCCCATAATGTATCATCCAGCTTCTTTGCCAATCAGTCATTGTCGCATTCACTATCTTGGTTAGGGCAGTTTTGATTTCCGAATTTGACACTTCAACTTGCCCGTTGATTGTGGGTGATAAGGGGTGGTCACCTTATGACGAACTCCATACTTTTCCAACAACTGTGTGAATGTTCTATTGCAAAAATGGGTTCCACCATCACTGATTATAGCTCTCGGGGTGCCAAAACGTGTGAAGATGTTTTTCTTTAGAAAGCCTGTCACCCCCTTTCCATCATTTGTTGGGAGAGCCACAGCTTCAACCCATTTGGAGATATAGTCAACTGCTACCAATATGTATTTGTTACCACACGAGCTGACGAACGGTCCCATAAAGTCAATCCCCCACATGTCTAATACCTCCACCTCTTGAATAGTAGTCATCGCCATCTCGTGACATCGAGATATGTTGCATGTCCTTTGGCACTCATCGCAACTTTTCACCCAAGCATGGGCATCCTTGAACAAAGTTGGCCAATACAAACCCGATTCCAACACCTTAGCTGTTGTCCGAATCCTCCAAAGTGTCCACCATATGGTGAAGCATGGCAAGCTTGCAAAACAGAAGGTTGATCTTGCTCGGGGATACACCTCCGGATCATGTTATCTACACATATTTTAAAAAGTAGAGGTTCATCCCAAAAATAAAACCGACAATCGCGAAAGAACTTTTTCTTTTGAATTGAAGAGAGTTCATAAGGTACAATACCGCTTTCTAAATAATTAGCAGTATCAGCATACCATGGTGTCTCCTCCATTGTCACTGCTAGTAACTGTTCTTCCGGGAATGTCTCTGTTATATCTTCAACCTCTACCTTCTTTTCAGCTCCTTCCAACCTTGAGAGGTGGTCTGCTACCTGGTTCTCAGTCCCTTTTCTGTCACGGATCTCCAGATTGAATTCTTGTATCGAAAGAACCCAGCGGATCAAGCGTGGCTTTGACTCCTTCTTTGCTATCAAGTACTAATTGATGCATGGTCAGTATAAACAATAACTTTTGAACCAATCAAGTACGACCTGAATTTGTCGAATGTAGAAACTACAGCCAACATCTCCTTTTCTGTCACGGTGTAATTTAGTTGTGCACCGCTTAGTGTTCTACTTGCATAATAAATTGGGTGCATCAGCTTATCCTTTCGCTGCCCCAATACTGCTCCTATAGCATAGTCACTTGCGTCTCACATGAGCTCGAACGGTTGCTCCCAGTTGGGTGCAACAATGATGGGTGCAGTCACCAATCTCTTCTTCAGCTCCTCAAATGCTAACCTGCAATCATTAGAAAACACAAAGGGCTGATCCTTTTTAAGGAGTTTGCATAAAGGGTTAGCAATCTTAGAGAAATCTTTTACGAATCGCATGTAGAACCCGACGTGACCAAGGAAACTTCTCACTGCCTTGACCGAAGTGGGCGGTGGCAACTTCTCAATCACTTCAACCTTAGCATGGTCAACCTCAACTCCTTTGCTGGACACTCAATGCCCCAGGACTATCCCTTCTTGTACCATAAAATGACACTTATCCCAATTCAGCACTAAATTTGTCTCCACACATCTTCTGAGCACTCTTCTTAAATTATGAAGACAGTCCTCGAATGAATCCCCACCATGGAGAAGTCATCCATAAATACCTCCATAATGTCTTCAAGCATGTCCGTGAAAATGGCTAACATACATACACCTGCCATACAGACATGTGAATGATATTTTCTCTCTGTCTTCGGGGGCTATTGAGATTTTATTGTATCCCGAATATTCGTCCAAGAAATACAAGTGAGATCGCCCAGCGAACCTGTCCAGCATTTGGTCAATGAATGGCAAGGGAAAATGGTCCTTCCGGGTGGCTGTGTTCAATTTCCGATAATCCATGCAAATCCGCCATCCCGTGACTGTACGAGTCGAGATCAACTCGTTATTCTCATTTTGTACGACCGTTATTCCTCCCTTCTTCGGCACACACTGAATAGGGCTGATCCAATTGCTGTCAGGGATGGAGAAGATGATACCTGCATCTAACCATTTGATCACTTCCTTCTTCACCACCTCTTTCATATTCGGGTTCAGCCTTTGTTGATATTCTCTGGAAGGTTTGTGCCTTTCTTCCAAGAGAATCTTGTGCATACAAAAAGCTGGGCTGACACCCTTGCCATGGTTCAACCGATAGCAGTCTTACATTCTTGTAACACCTATAGGAGTTGCTCTACCTACACAGCTAACAAACCGGATGATATTATAACAGGTAAAGTGGAATTAGGCCCTAAGAAAGTTTACCTGAGATGCGCTGGAAGTGGTTTCAGGTCCAACTGTGGTGGCTCTTCTATTGATGGTTTCGCATGTGGTGTTTTTCTTTCTTTTAGGTGTAAGGGCTCGAACTCGGGTTCCCTTTTCCAGAACCTTGACCTTCAAGAGCCATGACCCACTCCACCAACTCCTCACCGTCCACATTTTCCAGATTCATCAAGCAGGCTTCCAACGGATCCCTGACATTAATAGTCTCATCCTCCTCTTGTAGTATTACATCTACGGCCTCCACTAGTGAGCAATTTGTAAATTCACTGGGTATCCTCGTAGATTGTTAAACATTGAATATTATCTTCATTGTTCAACCTCATTTTCAATTCTCCGGTCTCTCAATCAATGCTCTCCCAGTGGCTAAAAACAGCCTGCCCAGAATGATTGGTATCTCCTCATCCACTTGACAGTCAAGAATGGCGAAGTCTGTAGGGAATACAAATTTCCCCACTTGAACAAGCACATCATCAAGAATTCATGTCGGTCTTTTGACTGTGAGATCAGCTGGTTGCAGTAGCATTGAGCTCGGTCTAGCTCTACCAATGCCCAGTTTTGTATAGATTGCCAAGGGCATCAAGTTTATACTGGACCCCAAGTCACACAATACTTTAGCAAAAGCATAACTCCCAATGGTGCATGGAATAGTGAAACTACCTGGATCAGACACCTTTTGAGCCATAGTCCTTGTCACTACCGAGCCGTAGGTCTGCGTCAGAGTTACAGTGGACAGGTCCTGGAAGTCAAATTTTCGCGACATCAGGTCCTTCATCATTTTTGCATACCCTGGCATTTCTCTCAAAGCATCCATCAGTGGAATATTCAATTGAATTTGTCTGAGCATTTTCATGAATTTCCTGTATTGATCATCTTTCTTTTTCTTTACCAACCTCTGAGGGAATGATGCAGGAATCAACCTCTGCCCATTGCTTTGTGTCTTTTCTTTGCTGGAAGCTTTTCTACTACCTTTTCTGGGAGTTGTTCACCTTCCTTCTCCTTACCCTTGTCAACTTGTGCTTGCTCGATTAAAACCTCGGTGAGCTTTGCTGACTCATCTGTCTCTAATGTAACTGGGGTAGCTGGAGTAGTCGGCGTTGTCTCTCTCCTAGATTGAGCAACTTCTTGCTCCCTGTCTAAGGCCTCATTTGATTTTTTTAATATTAAAACGTCTGAACTAAATACACATCTGAATATCAAAATGTGTATTAAGATCAAGACATCTGAATCTGAATACACATCTGAATATATTAAGATGTATATTAAGATCTGAATAGAAATAATTAAGACTGTTTGATTTTTAACATCTGAATGTATAAAATTTATTTTTATTGAAAATTAATAAACATAAAATTCAAATGAAATACTAACTAATCTAAAATTCTATCAATAAAATATATAGTTTTTTAAAATACGATACTTGTTGGTGGTGATGGCTAACGGGTGAATGCCGACTAGAGGTGGTGGTTGGTGGTAGTTTTGGTTGATGATGGTGGTTCATGCTAGTAGCTAGTAGTGATTGGCAGTGGTGGCGATTATGATTGAGGATGGCGGTGGTGGGTGGTGATAGTTAATAATGGCGGGTGGTGGTAGTAGTTGTGACTGATGAAGGTGGTGGGTTGGTGGTGGTAGGTTATAATGATGGGCAATGCTGGTTGTGGTTGTTGATGGTGATGGGGTGGTCAGTTGTGCTAGTTGAGGTGGATGAGTGTTGATTGTGGATGAGAATGATTATGGTGGTCGGAGTGGTGGGGATAGTGGGTGGTGATGGTCTATAATGGTGGCGGCTATGATTGAGGATAATGGTGGCGTGGTGGTGGTGGAGGTGGCGGTGGTGGTTGAGTATGGTGGTGGTGGTGGCATGGTGGTAGTTGATAATGGTAGGCGGTGGCGGCAATTAATAATAAATATGTGATAACATCTTGATGAAATTAAGTCTCTATTATAGATCTTAATCATAGAGACATATTCAGACCTAATAAGTGGTTGTGAAGTAAAAAAAAAAAAAACACACTTAATGATTAAGATCTGAATAATTAAGATTCAGACTTTAAAAACAAACGCACTTAATGTCTGAGATCTGAATGATTAAGATTCAGACCTCCATTAAGTGCAAACAAATGAGGCCTAAATCTCTCCCATGAGATTCACTACCATGAGTTGATCTGGGTTCTGCTCCTTTGGATTAATGTTTGTATCTGCAGGCAATGTTCCTTGTGGGCGATTGTTCAAGGCCATCGATAGTTATCCCAATTGAGTTTCAATGCCTTTGATTGCTGAATCATATGCAGCTAACTTCTCTTGCATCTTTCTGTTTGTCCCAATGAGTTGTTGCAGCATACCCCTGATTTCGATCATGTTACTATCCTGCTGTTGATGAGGTGGTTGGTAGGCCAACTGTTGCTGGTGCTGCTGATTATAGCCCTGCTGCCTTTGATAAGGCACGACTTGGCCTTGAGGTCGTGCCACTCCTGGATTGGGGTTGTGATGTGGCTGGTTTGGTCTGTACTGCTGGTTTAATGTTGGTCCCTATTGCTGCCCACCTTGCCTTTGAACTCCGAAATTATTTACATAATTCATGTCTTCTCTGAAACCTTGGTTGTCATTCTCTCCACTCCACGAGCACACATATGACTGGTTTATGCAATGAGTGCATAAGCCTCCATTTGTGGTATCAACAATGTGCACCTGTTTCGTACACATCTCATCGATTTTCTTTGTCAGCAAGCTCATCTGGGTCATAAGAGTGGCTATGTTTTCTGCATTTGTGTTGTTTGGGTCAAGAGCGACAGAATGCACTATTGGGGCGAGTGTTGTGTCTCTCGTCATCCAGCCTGAATTTTGAGACATCTTGTCAACAAGAATCTTACACCCTGTGAAGGTTTTGCTCAAGAATGCACCCCCGGCAGAAGCATCTACATTGGCCTTCAGACTGTTTGCCAAACCCATATAGAATCTCTGTCCCAGCATCTGATCCGGAATGCCATGGTGAGGACACTTCACCAACATACCCTTAAACCTCTCCCAAGTCTCTTGCAAAGTCTCAGTCGATTTCTGCCTGAATTGCAATATCTCATCAATCTGCCTCATAGTTTTGTTGGGTGGACAAAACTTGTTTAAGAACTGCTTGACTAGTTCCTCCCAAGTAGCGATTGAGTTTATTGGGAGCGAATTCAGCCAATTTTGAGCCTCCCCGGTCACTGAGAATGGGGACAGTAATAATTTGATTGCCTCAGGAGTCACATTCGGCTGTCTTTGAGTGACACATATTGATAGAAAGTTCTTCAGATGTAGTTGTGGGTCTTCGATATATGACCCGGAGAACAGCCCTTTATTCCGCAACAGGTGCAGCATGTTGTTGGTAATCTGGAATGTCTCCTCTTGTATGGGAGGAACCGCAATTGTTGTTGCCAGGTTATCAGCAGTTGGTTGCGCCCAATCATAAAGAGCATCTTCCGGCACAAGAGGTGCTACCACTCTGACGTTTGGGTCATCTCGATCATTCATGTTGTTCCCGTTGACGTTATCTACGTCACCCATTTCAATTTCAATTTGTTCGTTTTGTTTCAGCTGTTTGCTCTTCTTGTTAGTCCGGTTCAATGTCTGGAATGCTTTCTCGGGATCTGAGAGTCCTTCAAAAAGTTCACCAGTTCTCAAAGAGCTTCTAGGCATGCACCTGAGTCACAGAAGAGTTCGAACGTGAGAATTTCAATGCAAATATTTTTTTTAACACCACAAAAAATTGATCTAAACTAGTAATCCTAGCAATTCTTCCAAGTTACAATAAATAACACCGTTAGTTCCCCGGCAATGGCGCCAAAATATGATCACGCCCAACTATGCCTTATAAAAAGGACTAAGCGATCGCTGCAAATATAATTCAATTCAAGTCCGGAGTTGAATCCCACAGGGAACTAACCTATTTACTACAACTTTTAACACTGCTAATGAATAGCTCAAACAATCCCCGGAAGCAAGATTTTTAATGGATAATGAGTAGAATTTAGTTAACTAAGGAAAAATAACAATAAAACTAGCAATAATCTAGAATAAAGTTGAATTTAATGGTAAAATGGTCTAGGGTTATTGATTTCCCTAATTGTCGGATTAATTCCTGACACGTTAACTATAATATCGCCGTAACACTCTATAAGAAATATGAGTTCTGGGTTACCGCAATTATCTCTCGATCAATTACGATAATTTACTAGAAGCATTCTCTCGAACTACTCTAGTTAACAATTTATGCAACTCAGAATTATCCCACCAAAGCTTCATTATCTCTAACCCTGCTTTTAAATTCAAGCAATTAATCTCTCAACTTACCCGAAAGTGGTGTTGTTCAACAACAATCTAACCAAGTGTTCTTTCTCAAGCAACACAAGATAACTAGACACGATTAATCAAGGGCCCTTTCAATTAATCACAAGACAACACGTAGTTGAACAATAATAGAGTAAAAACGACTTAATTATATCAAAACATAGTCAAGACTTCATCCAACAATTGGTTCCATCAAGCCTAGATGACGGGTTTAGCTACTCATACTAAGAGATAAAATTTCACTATATAAAGTCATAATCAACAATGGAATTAAAAAAGAAGAATATAAAAACTCTAAGGAAAATTCTCTGTCTTTCTTCCGTGTTCTTGCCTTCAAAATCTCTCTCAAAACAGCTATATCTCTCTTTTGGACGAATTAAGCTTCATATAGATTTAGGTTAGTCGCCCTGAAAATTACATAATTGACCATGGGTTCTTGGCTCCCGTCAGCCCGCCCGCGGCCGCGGATTGGACCGCGGATTTGGCAATTGTTCTGTCCGCGGCCGCTAATCTGACCGCGGAGCTGGCACTTGCTCTTCTTTCTCCTTTTCGACCGTACTATCCTCTGATTGGCCTTCCACGCTCCATATTGACTCCAAAACACTCTTTAGCTTCCTCCTAGCTCGAAGTGGCTCCTGCAAAACAAAAAACTCTTAATTAAAGCATTTTGTTATATTTTAACATTCAAACATTGATAAAGTGCGGTCAAATTATAGTGTAAATAGCATCTAAATTGTATAATTATCGTCTACTATCAGGTGTCAAGTAAGTAGAATTAGAAGGGATGGGGAAAGATGGAGTAGTCATTTCCTCTAAGCTCCAAACATGCAGTTGAGGAATTATTTTCATTGATACTCAGTGAGCTACAAGAGGTATCAAAGCTAACATTACTATTAGGCATTTCACCAACTCCAGACCAAATCTTAGCAAACTCATCAGACGAAGGACAATCACTATAAGAATTCAACTTCTGACGTTGATGTCCTGTCCCTCTGCAGACATTTCCATTGGAATCACAGCCTTGGCATAGACATATTGATAGCTGGCTGTGAACAGCATTTGTCAGAAATAAGCGAACGAGGGTGCCTTTGCGATAAAAAATTTGCTGAATGCACCAATCCATCACAATCCAAACAAAGCCTAGCTAAATCTGACGTGCAATACATCACTGCCTTCACTACCCAACAGAAGTCACATAGAGGCTCTATTTAACTAACATAATACGATTATCTTATTTTCTTTTAACTTTTCACGATATCATCACAAGGTAGGGATAAAGTCTGCGTGCACACTACCCTCTCCAGACCCTACTTGTGGGATTACACTGGGTTTGCTGTTGTTGTTGTTGTTGTTGTTGTTGTTGTTGTTTATATCATCACCTCAAAATCCTGCACAGTCAGAACATTTTGTAATTAGGTTCAACAATGTTAGCATCAATCAGAAAAGCATAGACATCGAGAGATGAATATCTTACTGTATGAAAAGTGCCAC